TGTATGAAATATGAAGATAACAAACAGTATTCAAATTCAAAAGTCCATTAAAACAATGCAAATTTTAAACAGAGCAAACAAGGACCTCTAAAAACATCAGAGGTGGGATCAGGTGCCTTGGAGGAGTAAACATCCCCTGCCGACAAGTATGCTCCTTGTCATGATCGGGAAAAACGAAAAAATAACCGTACCCGAAGAAAATTCAATGTGAAAATAATGGCCTCTGTGTAGTTAAAAAAGCGGGCTTAATATTTTAGCGGCTGTGGCGCAGACAACGATGCACTAATTCAAGATAACAATTAATAAATGAATTTTGCAAAGTCCATGCTTGAGACGGGGACGCGTACTCCTCCATAGCACCTTATCCTACCTTTTCGCTCTACAAAAAATTTATTGCTCAAATGGCATTTTTCGTTATCTTCATATTTCTGTTTTTCCTTGTATTTCGTTTATTTACACCAGAAAAATCTACTTCTGGTAATTAAGATTTCATTGTCTCTTTTCCAATGCATAACGTAGTTAAATATAAAGTTTCATGCAATTTAGAGAATCAATAAATCGTGCGGAATTTATTTTACGTCACGTCTACAGATAATTCCATGCACAAGTGAAATGGTTCTTTTCTTGCTGAGATAAATCATTTAAATTCATGGTTTCATAATCAAGAAAGGAAACATTATACACGAACTTAAGATTACTTGTAAAAGTAACATCGTATGTATTGCTTACGATTTAGACGACACAAATCGGTTCCATTTAATTGTACATGTGCTGAGCATTTTTTTTTTTCATTTGTCATAACGGGCCTCCGTACCAGTAACTATGCAGGCAAAAATCACCTTTTCTTACGTAAATTCGACAAACCTATTCCAACATGGGTTGAAAGTTATTACAAGCACTAATTTGTGCACTTGTGTGAGAGATATTAAGAGTCAGTCTATGTTCAATACTACCACAATCACTGGTTGCTATGTTTAAAATGTAACTTCCGCTTTAAAAAGTGTGTTTGCATTATCAAACGCATCGGCAGAAGATTAAATAAAATTCATAATATGTAAGGTTGCCAATTATTGTACATTTTTATACCCATCATAACTTGCGCTTTAAACAGCAAGTATGTTATTTGATGAAATCGAGGACAACTACGGCTGAACATATAGCGGGATCTCACTATAATAGTGATATACCACTATTATAGCGGAATTTACGTTTCCCCCCAACCTGCTAACAGTTACTGTTTATTTTTTAAAACTCTATTTCTTACATTGTTATTGAATACTTATAAAACATTAACTTAACTCTCATTGACATGTCTATTTAGAAATCAGTATGTATTATATATCCATCACTAACATTCTTAATTGACCCTGGGTCCATTAAAAGTCTTTGATATGCATGTACGACGTGCATGTGTACATTGGTTAGCAAATTAGAAGTGCATGCGTATGTCTGGCGAAGATAAGCCGGGGGGGGGGGGGGATGGGGGGTAGAGGTTTTACTTCGTAGGTTGGTCATTGTATTTTTATGCGCATGTAGAAACTATCCATTTATCATTGCAGAGAGAGAGAGAGAGAGAGAGAGAGAGAGAGAATTTTATTTTGCTGGTCTGCAATGCACATTTGTAAAACAGTATTAATTGTCAAGAAACTCCCTTCCCGTTATATTTAACCTGCCAGTAAAAAAAATTGATTTCTTTTCTGTCCCTATCAAAAGCAACCTGATACAATGATCAACAAAATAACCACAACCACCTACCCACCACACACACACGTGCACACGCACGTTTCTAATTTGCAACACCTATGATTTGAATATCAACTGATTTTAAATGGCTAATGAAATCAATATATGTTGAAATCAGATCTAATGTTAAAAAAAAAGCACATTAAGTTTATTTTTCCTTTTGTTTTATTTTCTTTCCGTTTATTTTCTTCATTCACTACTCAATTGAAAATTATTCTCAACCTCACTGATCAAAAAGTGTGTTATTACATTTTGCTTTGTTGCATTTTTCTAAATCTCGACGCAAAATGTTATAACGCAAAATGTAATAATCCTAAAAACTCAGTTTTTACATTTGCGTTATTACATTCTGCGTTGATATCAACGCAAAATGCAATAATTCCGGTTTATTACATTTTGCGTTGTTATTACATTTCGCGTTGTAACACAGCTCCGCTTATCAGCAAGCCTTCAATGTAAGCAAGTCCACAGACATCGTGCCATAAACCAATACAAAATCAGACAACACTCAAGCAATGGTGTTTGGAGAACATATTCTGAAAACTTCGCACTACGACGTCCAAGTTTGGGTCATGGAAAAATAACACTTCCGTGTTTATATCTAATTTCTTTTTTATATACATATTTTATTATTTTTATAATCATAATGATGTTATTTGACCCTCTTAAAATGTTTATTTATATTTAACTCGGCAGGTGTATGCATTTTAATAGACTTAATTTATCACGACCCTAACACAGACTTAGAGATGCGAATTTTTAAAACCTTATTAACCTTATAAGGTTAAGAATAAAATATATGGTCAATTAATAAACACAATCTACTTTTAATGGAGGAACACAGTCATATAATACAAGAAAAAAAGCGGCAGCGTAAATCGAAGGTTTATATCATACTAGGATGCTGTATATAGCTGTCTGGTATGTCTCTCCGAATTTTCTATAAAAGTGAACTACCATTCTGCAGCTAAGACGGATCCAGATTATTTTCGGAGGGGACGATTCAACATGACAGACTCAACACGCAAAATAGGTCAACAAACTGCCCAATTCTGAAAAACCTATTTCTTGTGCTTTGGCGGAGGGAATCAATTTTCGTCAAATACACTAATTACTTTACTTACCCTTTTACACGTAAGAGGGATTTTGTTTCTTAAGGGGTCTAAGGTCAATTTTCGATACTTTTTAATACTTTTACAGAGAAATCATAGGAATTTAATAACTCTGAAAATTTCAAGAGGGAACCCCTGTCCCTCTCTAGACCTGTGAGAATGTATTTCTTCATTTGAATATTTTGCGTTTAGCTTTTTTTACTCATATTTTCAGCATCCTAGTTGCGAAATGAATTAAACAAAATTAAAAATATGCTTAAGAAAATGAAATTTAAACGTTATTTGTTGAGCAGGGTCCATACATAATTCGTTATGTGGTTGATAATCTTAATACGTGAGGATTTGTGTTTGATTAATTCAAAACACATAATGTGGTCTTCTGAAAAGATGTGTATACCTCATTAATAATTACAAATTATCAAAGGAGCACGACAGAAATATATTGTAAATAGCTATTTGCAAATTACGCAATAGTCCTTTGACAGTTTGCAGTTTAGGGACAGAATAAATAATTCGGTGATCGTAAATAACAGTTGAAAAACAATTTTTTGTTGCTGTTGTAAGAATATTTCACTTTTTTCTGTATTTAGAAAACTCTAACATTTTCTTCTCTTTCATATTGAAAAAAAGGATATTCTTAATATGTTTGAATTTGATATTTAATTTACAAGTGCATTTTATTACTTAAGCATAAATTCAATACAAGTGTAATGTCACATATTGAAAACCGTCCAATCTAAAAAAAAAAAAAGAAAAAAAAAAAAAAAAAAAAAAAAAAAGAAAAAGGTGTAACTTAAAACAAGGAAAATAATTACTTGTGATTTAAACGTTTCATTGCACACAAATATAATGAGTGTACTTCTATTAAAAATAAATTTTCTTGTCTTTGACCTTTTAAAACCTTTCGTGTAAATTACCTGTTCTTTTCTAAAGAAAAGTAAACTTTATACGTTTACACGGATGTTAAGAGACAAAAATATAATCTATGACCGTAATTAATGTAATTATAGATTGAACTCTAACTTTCCTCAGATAAAGTATTCCACATTTGCTCCAGTGCATTTGATGCGTATTAATTAAGTTCCGTGATTGATTTATAATTGGTGGTATTTGTCAGAACATCAGTCTGATTTCCTCCTCGTTTTCCTTTAAATGAATTATGACATTTTGCATCTTTTGCGCTGTTATAAGTATCATTGAGTTAATGTTAAAAAGAGTTACGCATTTGCAGTCCCCAGATTTCCCTTTTTTACACTAGTTGTCAAATTTAATGAGCTTAAAATATGCCTTCAAAGAGCAGAAAATTTATCTTCAAAAGGAATAAATTATGCCTGACAATTAAATTGTGATTTAACTTTACCTTATTTAAAGTGCTTAAAAATAAACCAGAATTTCATTTCCAATATCTTTTTTTTTTTTTAAAAATATTTTAAAAGCGATACCTATTTATCTTTATGCATGAGAATGAAATAGAAACTAGATTTTCTTACATTTTTAGGGCAAGATCTTTGAAAAAATAACTCTATAGTAAACTATAGCTTACTTTTTTTTCTATATTAAATGTAATTTTAAAAGTTCTTACTATATTGAATATGAGTATTTAAATTTTTGCAAACTATAGTAAATCAAAGCCTTTTAACTATACATGTAACAAATCATAGAAAAAAGTCTTTTTACTATTTATTTCCAACTGTTGTATTTCGTGTTCTCTGAATCTTGTATGATTTTTTTTTTTTACATTTAAAAAATATTTCTATAACTTCAAAACTCACATATTATTTTCACAGACTACATAATTGATTCAGAATTCAAAAGATAGTAAGGGCCTAAATCTCAACAACAAAAATTATTATGATTCTAGAGTAAAGTATCATAGTAAATCAAACTACCATTCAAAACGTTTGAAAGTATCTAACTAAATCAAATATCAAGGTATTATAGTATGAACTTTGGTAAACTATAGTGAACTTTATTTTAAAAAGAATAGGACTGATATTTAATGTTTCCCACTAAAGGAAAATTAAAAATTATGGTCCAATTGAATGATAATATTGAAAATTAATTGATAGACTGTGTACAAGTAAAAACCCCTTTTCAACTCAGTTAACAATTTTTTAAATAAATTCTTTGAGGAAAAATGTATACCTTCTATGGTTAATGGAACGAATGTATCTCCACATTCATTACTTGTAATCCGCCTTTGAAGTATTCCGTCTTTCATTAAAACAGGATAAAACTCCGGACTGAGAATATTTGTGTAGTTGTACCACATCATGGTGAACTTGTAGTCAACGTTAAAATCAAAGTAACAGACATTATTTACACAGTTCTGGTGAGGTCTCACCACTCGACATTGGCATTCAAATAGGAAGAGGACAAAGAAAAGTAGCTTCAGAATCATTCTGGTTCTCCTTTCTACTGCTGGTTGACCTTTTGCAAGGTGCACTTTTGGCAGGTATTTTTAAATTTAATGAGACCCTACTCTAGGTCAACCTCAATAGGGTCTAATGTCCTCGCAATAATTTTTCATTTATATATAGATGACATCAGCTATACTGGTACAGAATCCAATCACGTCTCAAGTTAAGTTAAGGACATATCTAAAACGAAGATTCTAGTAATAGAACAGGTCCTTACTTTTTAAGCTCAACAACATGCATTTGATTAAAATGAGCAACCTTCCATACAAAAAAAAAAAAAAAAAAAAAAAAAAAAACAATGTGCTCTGACAAATGATGCATTAAAAGAAAGAATGCTTTGATGGATACTTTTGTCTTCTGCGGCAAGGAAACTACTATTATATCAGATGAATGTTCTATCTGACCTACATTGAAAATCGAAGGGGATTGCAAAGGCATATTGTAATAGAGAAAATATGGGCAAAAAGGAATTATTATAATATTTATCTAAATGTGAGTTAGAAATGAAACTATTTGGTAATCGTTCAAAGGATTAGTTCAGGTATGTAGCAAAAGACATTATAAGCATAGATAACATTTATCGTTTAAAATTTAGATACTGTATTCAAATTAATCTTTATCACAGATTCTTGGTTATCCTCGATTTTTTTTATTCTACAAAAACCTAACCTCCATGTTGACTCAGCCTAAATCGAGAAAAAGTAACTACAGCACACATGCTTAAATAACTAAAGCTAACATGCTTACTGCAAAATGATTTCCATTCCCCGTGATTTTAAAAAGTTTTCTGAACTGAGCGGATGTAAGGAATTTCATGAAATATATGGAGATAACGATCAGTATCCAAGCTCAAAAGTCCATTAAACAATACAAAATAGGAGCAGAGCAAACACGGACATCCAAACATCAGAGGTGGGATCAGGTGCCATCTAGGAGTGAGCATCCCCTGCCGACCGATCACACCTGCCGTGTGCTCCTTGTCATGCTCGGGAAATAACGGAAAAATCCGTCGACAATTCAGTGTGTAAATAATGGCCTTACAATTAGTATGAAAAACGTCAGTCAGCATTTGACTCAATGATAAATTGTATTTGCTGACAAGGTCATTGTTTCTACCATAGAACTTACGAAATGATGACTTTAAACGAGACAGCTGATACTCTTGTTTCATTAACTTGTTTGTCAATAATATACCTCGTTTTAGAAATTGTACATACGTAGAGCATGCTCTTGCGTATCGAATCAACTGAGAGATATATACCCCGTATGTAGGTGATGAAGGTATATTGCTGCATAAGTAAGGGAAGTTGACGATTGAAAAGTTAAAGTCATCACGTTTATCATAAAACTTTGTTGTTAGATTACCATTAACGTCTTTAACAAGTAAATATATCCAAATATGAAACAGATGTGTCAGACTCTGTGGTATCTTTCGCAGCTCTGTTAAGGCTGCATAAAGGGGCGGGGTCTAATTTACACGGGAAATGTCTACTGTGACATCACACAAATATAGCAATTCCTCACAACAACAGAAAATGAAATAATTTGCGGTTCTAAACTGCATAAGAGTGAAGAACTACATCAAAACTTACCCCTGCATTCATTTTTGTTGCTAGTTAAATTACACACAGCAAGATATAAACAAGTCACTTATCGCAATGCACTTGTCGACATGACGTCATCATGGTAAAATTTGACGCATTTTATGTACAGCGAGAGGCGGATCAAATAATTTTTCCACAGTGAAAAACGCATTTTATTATTAAATAGAATATTATTTGCAAATCTTACGTAGAGCATCAATACAAATCTGAAACTTTTGTTTAGTGCCATTATTTAAAAACAATCGAGAGAATGTATTGAATTAATTCTACAGTGTTTTGTATACAGGGTGTGCATGTTTCACGTCGAGGCGTCTCATTAAATCGCTTTTTCGCAAGAGCATACACTCAAAAGATCTTGACCATTTTTTGAATATGTATAACGGAAACATTCCTTAACTTGAAAAGTGCTGCTGCTTTCCTAAAATCGAGAGCATTACTAAATAAAAAAATAAAATACATGGTAAAGGTCACACATATTTCGACTAGAGCCAAATAACTGGAAAATTAAACTAATTAAATGCGATTTCTATTTAAAGCAGCAGCACTTTTCATAAACTACAAGTTATATAGATACAATTTATTACTGATTTTTTTTTTTAATTCTAATTAGGGTATGCCCTTGCGATATTGAAATTTGTTTATGACCTACATACAGTACACATTACATGCATTTATCACGTGACCGTCAAATAACGTGACCAAACCAAATTCCGTACAGAGCGGGGTATACAATGTTATTTCAATTAGAATTATAAAGTCATGTGATAATATAGTAGCTTTACAAAAATAAATTCAGTTTAAAAGGGTATGTATTTATGCACGTTTACATTCTGTTGATTTCTTCGTAGTACGCCTTAACAGTCCTGCGTTTATCTCAAGCTCACTGGGATATATCGTATCGACATGAGAATGGAAATAGCCACTGTTAATTGACAATATGTCGTCGATATATCTAAATGTCGAGTTGAAGCCACAACAAGTGTTTTCTTCTTTTCATGTATAAGATTTTGGACAAATTTTGCTTCATATGAATACAAAAAAAGGTTTGCAAATAAGGGGGCGCAATTGGTATTCATGGGAATTCCAATAGATTGTTGGAAGACCTTGTCCCCAAAAACCACATAGATATTGTCAATCAGAAACTCAAGCATCTTTTTAATGTCAACTTTAGAGTACTTCAGAGCAAATGGCCAATGACAGGTTACGTAAATTTACGAGTTCCATTTTTATTGAAAAAGCAGCTGTAGATGATATCAAAAAGCCTGGACTTTAATTCATAGTAGGGAATGGTCGTGTATAAAGTTGAAAAATCGTAAGTTTTTAAGCTGTTGATTTTGGTAAAATCTTGTGATTTCAAATTTTCCAAATGTTCCTTGGAATATTTAAGTATCCACATCTGATTTACTTCTCGAATATATTGTTGCACAGTACTCTTGAAGTTTCTTCTTCACTACTGTTAATATCTTAGTGAGGAGTAAAGAAAGAGGTTTGGTTGAGCATTTACTGGAACCCGCTATGTATCTTTGTTTGTAAGGATTTTTATGAAGTTTTGGAATCCAATATAAATACGGTAATTCAAATTCATTTTGGAATATTAAAAATATTCAGAACTGACATGTGATTTTGTAGAATGTCTTCCTTAGAAAGGGAACTATGAGTATAAGTTGGATTACCACTTGTAGAATTAAATCCAAGTTCCTCTAAAATACATTTAATATAATGAGCCTTACAAAAAAGATAATGTTGTTACCTGCTTTGTCAGCAGGGACCAGTACGTACTGATCATGTAATCTATCTAATTCTTTTTTTTTCACTTCTGGATTACTGAATACAGAAGGATAGATGGTTCTCATATTGCCCCTCAATCTTTTAATGCGCTATTTTAACATACATCTGATACATTTAATCCGTTCTGACAAAGTGTCAAGGTTTTCGTTTTCATGTCTGGCCCACCGCCTGGCGTAATTCTCTACAGAATCCATAAAAAATTATGAAATTCCGACGCCAGTTGAAGGATCGGAATTCCCTATATTTAGGACCTTTTAAAATTAGTTAACTATATTTACGTCACCAGTAATAACGTGTCCAGCAGGACTATAGTTAAAGGGGGAAGAAGAACATGAACACGATGGAGGATTATGTTTCAGATATTCGATATCTAGGCCATGTAAAATTTTGTTTATAACGAATCAAAATTGATGGTCGTCCTGGGCACTTCTCTATAAGCATGTTTTAGAGTATTTAAGAAGTAAAATATGTGAGTAAAATAAGGAATCTTGTTTTAAGAAATGTAATCATTGACAATTTCCAAGCAATTATAAATAGGAAAACAGTCTGTTTTTTTTTTTTTTTTTTTTTTTTTTTTTTTTTTTTTTTTTTCGTTTTGGCTAAGGGAAAGTTACACTTTTATAATAGAGAGAAAATATTATTTCTTTTGTTATCATCTCCTGCAATAGAGAAATGAAATGTAAAGGTAAGAATTAATTGTAATCATGCTCAAACGTCCATTTAAACAAAACAATTTGTGAGCAGAGCAATCACGGACCTCTAAAAACAGATGTGGGATTAGGTGAAATGGAGAATTGAGCATTCCTTTTTCATTGGTCACATCTGCAATTTGCCTCTTGTCATGATTGGTAACACGGAAAAATCCGTAGACAATTTAGTGTGTAAAAAATGGCCAACCAATTTTTATGTAAGTTGACATTCGACCTACCAATAGATTGCGTTTTTAAACAACTTCATTGTTTCCACCACAGAATTTGCGAAATGTTGACTTTGAACGAGAATGTTTATAATCTTGGATCATCAACATATTTGTCAGTTGCCTGCCTCGGGCTAGAAATGGCTCGTACATAGAACATGCCCTTGGAATCAAATCAGATGCAGGTGCAGGTGGTATATTGTACATATATATATAAGAGAAATTCACAAAAGAGAGCCTGAAGTCATCACGTTTAACATAAAGTTTATCTAATAGTTTGCCCAAATATAAAAGAGATGTGTCTTTTATTTTGAGTTCAATAGATATATGTTATTGTATCAACGTAGGAATGAAAATGAACAAAGTCATTGTTTATTGAAAACTGCACCTCGAAATTAAAAAGCTGAAATAAAAATCTGACTATAATATTAGCATACAAATAAAAAAAAAATACCCAACCTTCCGGAAAAGAAAACAATCAGGATTTTTGAAAATGGCGTAAGTATTTAGAAGAATCTGTAATGCCATTCATAAATTATTAAAAATAACAATATAATAAAAGTTTAAAAAAGCAATAGTTACCATTTCCGAGAGCATTCAGTATATTTTAATTATAAAACATGTTTACGAGGGGTTATCAAAAAGTTCGTGGACTGATTCGATAAAATTAATACTATGTAGTCTGTGCTTACAAAATTTATAGGGAACATAAATCAACAAAAGTGTAAGAAATGTTGAAAATTTTAGCTCGATA